GCTTTGCATCACAGGAATACATTTTATTTTAAAATATATTAAAATAGAAATCAGTTATTTTGAATTGCAATAATATTTCACAATATTACTAATATCACTACTACATTTTTTATCAAATAAATGCAACTTAAGTATTATTTTTATTTAATATGTTATATTGTAAGTTTTTTATTTTATATTATATCTAATTATATAATTTGATTATATCTAGTATCTAATTGTTATGTGACCATACATACAGAAAGATGCTATATACAGCAGTGTTGGCCTGCATTATGTAAGTGTATAAACAACAAAGCCATGGGGCAAACGTAGAGCTACGCCTGGCTTAACCTGCTCTGCACTGTGTGTAAAAGCAACAACAGATTTGATCCGCTCAGCCCATCTCTCTCTGTCGCTCTGCACCATAGGATGCATGTATGCTCATTTCAGCTCATCGATTGTCCTGCTCTTAAACAGAAGATGCATTCTTCCATCACTGACCTCCCCCCACCTCCGGAGTGTTATTCTCAGACATCACGCCATGTTGGGTCACAGGCGCTAATGAAAGCCTCTGGTCAGCTGGATAGCCTGATGTCTGTGTGCGTTTGTAGGTATGTATGAGGGTTTATTGATTAAAGAAACAATGATTGTTGTTGCCTGCAGAAAGTTTTTAGGTATGTTTTGAGATCTTATGCATGTTGTTGAGCTTTATTGTCCGTTCAATGACCAAGCACGAATCTGGTTTGCTGACTTTACACAACTGAAGACAAGGTACCAGTTTGATACAGCGAGTGCTTCAGGAAAGAAGTAAAAATCACTGGATTTGCCAAGGTTTGCCAGGCTAGTGGCGTCAAATTAATGAAAGATGCTCAGAGTTTTACATTTACATTTATTAATTTAGCAAGCACTTCCAAAGTGACTTACAAATGAGGAATACAACAAGTAATTCATTATAAAGAGGCAAATAAACACAAGAAGTGCTTGTAATACAACGTTTCAGACATGGTGCAGAATAGTACAAGCTAGAACAGGGAGGAATAAAGGAAAAGTTAAAGAATAGAGGATTTGTTTTCAGTAGAATGCAGTTAAGTACTGATGGAAGAGATACATATTTAGCTGATCTTGAATATTGTCAAGGATTCAACGTTCTGGGTAGGGTTGGGAAAGTCATTCCACCAGCAAGCAACAGTGAATGAAAATGTCCTGGAAAGTGATTTTGTGCCTCCCATTGATACCACAAGTTGTTTTGTTTAAAGGGTTAGTTCACCCAAAAATGAAAATTATGTCATTAATTACTCACCCTCATGTTGCTCCAAACCCGTAAGACCTCCGTTCATCTTGGGAACACAATTTAAGATATTTTTGATGAAATCTGAGGGCTCTCTGACCCTCCCATAGACAGCAAGGTAACTACCACGTTCAAGGTCCAGAAAAGTACCAAGATGATCGACAAAGTAGTCCGTGTGACATCAGTGGTTCAACTGTAAAGTTACAAAGCTACGAGAA